CGCATTGGGGTGGTCAATATAAGCACATTTAGTAACTAGGGCTGGCAATGGGGGTACACAAGGGGATTGAGTCCAGGGAGTGAATTTCGAAAGGGAGGGGGAGGTATTCAGATTCAAACTGATTCTTTTTGACTAAACAGTGGCTTAGTAAACACCCAGAATACATTAACAACCACTTAAGAAATCTTTAAAAATACCTTCATAACCACATAGCACTGTGACGGTGAGTTTTGTGCTGGTAAGCACCACTTTAATGTAGTTTATTCTTATAACTGTCAAACAAGCAGATTTTGGTAGCCCACTTCATCAAAATCACTCATGTCCTGTAAAGCTGACTCTGCATATTAAATCATAGATGATCACAGAGGATTACACTCGTTATCCACTGTACCTTACCAGCTTATTTTCTGAACAGTTGATCAGAGGTCTAACTAAAAGTGAAAATGTTTGCACATAGTTGCTACATAATGAGTAAGGATTATAGCGTCTGATAGCATGATATCAAATTCTTCTACGTGCAGCAAAATCCTCAGTGTGTAACCTAATGACACATTTACAGATTCTTATTTTCTACTACTTATAAAGGAAGTAAAAATCTTTGAAACCAGCCACGAATCAGCTCATTGTGTGATTCTTATCAAACCACTTTAGACTGAAGTAGTTTACCCAAAATACCCAAAAGTTATTTTATGATATTTTTATTTTAAGAGCTTGACAGTTCCCATTATCATTCAACCTTAGTGACTGGGAAAGAGTGATATTCTGCTCAATTTCTCCCTTTGTGTGCCACTGAAGAAAGACAGTCATACAGATTTACAATGACATGAGTGTTAGTTAAAAACGTTTTTGTGGGTGAATTATTCCTTTAGAAGAATTTTGAAATACAAAATAACAGCAACATCATATGCAATGTGTATAGAGCTCCGGACGTCACGTGACCCATTCTGTTTACACCACCATGCTGGCAGGCAGGGACAGCTGGGAGCGAATGTGAAATGAATGGCGCCAGCATGAGTTTCAAGGCAACAGAGTTCACTGCGTACTTTAATTCAAAAGACATAGACCTGTACATAGCAAAACTTAATAGATTAAGCATAACAGATCCCTATAATGCCCCCGTGGTGCTTTTAACGTGTAGCCTATCAATAAAGGAACTGATAGATTTCCTGACCTGCAGTATCCTGATATCTACAACTACCTCATCAACTTTCCCTCATAACATTACTCCGGAGACTCGTTAAAAGCCTACAAAAGCCTGGAGGTGTACAAATGGATGCAATCTAATTTTTTGAGGAATATTCAACCTGCTATGTCGTCACTGGAAGGGTAAGTCAACTGTGTTGTTAGCTAACGTAATCGACCCTAGCTGTCCTTGTAGGTAGCCAGCATAGCTATATCACTGTGAGTACAGTAGACATCATAAATGTCATAAAATCTTACCCGTTTAATCCCAAATTTTCTGTTGGTTAGCATGTTTTATTGCAGTGAACCATTTTAGTCGACTATCGGGATCCTTAGGAATACGATAAAATGATTTCCCCTTTGCTTTATGGGACAATCGCGTATATATAAATAAATATATATATATGAAAATGCGTATTTTTGAATTAAAGATAACTTAGAGATTTAATATGGGCTGCTTTTGGTGTCAGGGTTCTGTCACTTCGGTCTAGTGTAATTCATGGTTTTGTGACAGAGCCCTGACACTCCCGTCATGTCTTTGTTTTCATGTGAGCGTGCGGCTTCGAGAGTGCTCGAGCCGTGCGCTCTCGTCTGCGTGTACTGTTTCATGTTGGAGCGTGGTGTTCGGATCCCGGCACTCAGGTCTTGAGTTTCGGTTTCGTTTCGGGGTCCGGACACTCGCGCTCCATGTTCTGTCTGTTGTGGGAGCGTGCGGTCTCGAGTTCGCTCGGCCGTGCGCTCTTCTGTCCACGTGTTTTGTGTAGCAAGCGCTATTGAGTCCTCGCTCCATCCTTCATCCCCAACCCTGACATTTGGTGCTTGACACTTTTTTTTTATTGGTCATTTTGTGTGTTTTACGAATAAGAGTAAGAGAATAAGACTACAAGGTTAAGAAGCTTACTTAAATGTAAAATGTTTTTTCTCTATTTTGCAATAAAAGACGGCTTCCCTTATTGATCACGTCTCGGGTAGATTGCATGTTTTCTTGCACGGCGGGATGTTGGACTCATGAAAAATAATCACGTAGTTTGTATTTGCCAAAACTGATTTACCAAAGTCAAAACACGGACAGAATTGGCGTAAGCGCAAGCGCCGCTTAAGTGGGAGCGATCAGCCAGCAAAGGATTCTGCAGCCTTCCTCAAACAGTTATGTTCAGGATTTTCTGATTTACTTAACGAATACTGTGTGAGGGGGCAAGAAACGGACGAAGGGAGGTCACGTACGGGACACATAAATTAAGTCCAATATATGGGACGTCCCGGCTAATACGGGACGGTTGGCAAACCTAGCTTTCCCCTAACCATTGCTCTAGTGCTCTCCTGATTGCCTGCCAAAATGGTGGAGTTTAGAGTGCGTGATTCAACCTCCGGAGCTCTATACAGTACATGCATGTAATAAAGCATTGTAGATTATTGTGGTTAGACTACACTAGACAGCTTCTGTGTTTCTTATTGTGTAAGCCTGCTAACAGAGGCTCTGTTTGTTTACTGGCATACAATGTTTCCTGCTGTGCCATTCCTCCTATGATTGTGTCTCAAGAATGAAGCCTGGTTAGATATTCCTATAGAGACCTGGAAGCTACAACTAGACCACCTCTGTGTGTGTGTGGTCCAAGCTTATAAATTTAACAGAATGGTTTTTTTTTTGTTTGTTTTTTTGGAATCTAAAATAGCAGAAAGTTTTGTGTACATACAGTTTGTACAGCATAAAAACCATTATGCCTACGGGAAGTCCACATAAAACATGGAAACCCAACATGCATGCGTGCGTGTGTGTGTGTGTACTTGGTATTCCCTACATTATGCTGTCCAAATTTCCCCATAAGCACAAGGATATTAATATCAGTAAATTTTGCCCTAGTGGGGACATTTTTCTGGTCCCTTTGAGGAAAACAGCTTAAAAAATCAGACAGAACTCTATAACTGTATGCTTCCAGGGCTTATTTTCCTTATTGTCACTGCAACTCCTTCAGCTGTGACTTATTCACAATACAGCCTCGAGTACCTTATTGCTTTTATAAAACGGTTATCACACAATACAAATATTACAACCAAAAAATGTATGTATTGGTACTTTTTTAAATTGCATTCATTAAATCCTATCCTTCTGCTAAAAAAGAGTTCCTGACAGTGACAGTAAATGGCAAGAGAATGTTCCGGTGTAACGTGCCTCATCTTATGTAGCTCAAATAAAAACAGAGAATAGGAGCTGTACACCTCATTTATTTTTCAACAGCATATATGATATTTTCTCACATATATCTGCTTATCTCTCAGCATGAGAAAATGTCTGATCTCCCATATAAGAAGACTTTTGTTGACGGGGGATCAGAATAAAGGACTGAAACTAACTGTTTTATAAAGTTATTATATACAGTTCATCAAAACTATGCATGGTGCAATGCTACATCAGTGTAGAAAGCACCTGATTAAACTCTGGCATGGATGCTTTATGAACACAATGCATAATATCACACACAAAAGATACAACTGTTTAGTGAATTTGCCCTTCACATTACAAAATGTTCTCTATAGCCGGTGGCCACCTTCTGTCACGGTGCAATGTAAACCTTTGACTGTTTTGCATGTAACAAGCCTCTGTGATTGCTTTAAGCAATCTGTTCTAATGTTCTAATTTATGCATTAATATATACCATTGATGCATATTGCTTGAAGCTATTTTCCTTTGTTTTTTACAAAATCCCTGATCTTTTGTTACGGGGCTGAGGAAGTCCCTGAGATGTTTCCCACAAGAGCCTTGGACAACTAATCAAAGCACTTGTCAAAAGCAAACTGCAAAAGCCTATTTATCAGCCTGCAGTCATAACAGTACCCAGATATTTGGACGTGTATGGACGAGCACGTCCTAATTAATCTAACAATTAAATATGGGAAATGCAATGTGTTAAATACATTTAGCACAGATTTTGTGGACATGTTTGTACCAGTGCACCTGATTCTATAATTATTTGATTAAAATGAGTGCTAAAACTATGCAAATGGTATTATAAATTATTCTTAGTGCATTCTCTCTTGTGCATGCTATATTATGGCTTAATATAGTAATATTTTTGTTTATACATTATTGCAGATTGATTCGATTGCCAAAATGTCATTACGTTAAATTTGTCATCAGCACATTGAATAAGAATTTGGATTTACCTTTAAAATTAGATATGCTGTCATGAATACATAGTTTTTCTTACTGCACTGAATGTATTTCCCACTTCTATAAAGAAACAAAAAATAATACAAGTATATAGCAGGGATTAAAGTTCCGTCGCTACGACGGATTTCCGTCAGTTCATAAAGACAGTAACTTGCTTCATTCCTTAATGATTCAGCCGTTCGAACGAATCAATTGAATGAATGATTCATGATAAAATTAGTGACTTGCCACCACCTGCTGGCAGATTTAGTTTCATTTTTAGCGTATAATTTCAGTTATTTCTGTATTCAAAATTTTATATTTAAAACAATCTCCACATGAATTTATGAATTTAATTGCACTCATGCCACCTCTGAGCCTCATTAAACGTCTGAAAATGTACCTACAAGCCACTTTTGTGTTCTTCTGTGCCACCTCTGTAGTACAAATTAATTTATTAATACTAATTTCATATGATTGGTAGCTTATTTGTCTTTATGAACTGACGGAAATCCGTCTTAGCGACGGAACTTTAATCCCTGATATAAAAAATTGTGCAGTAAGGGAAAACAGGGATTTACTAGAGTCCATTAGTAAGATGAATGCTTCACTTTTGCTCAAGAAAAGGTGTTTTTATTGCTCTATTTTTTTCCTTTTGACTCTTTCACAGAGGCGAGAGTCGGCTTCCTTCTCCAAGAAGACCAACAACACTTTCAACATCGTGGGAACCACCTACAGCATGAGCGTAGCCAAAGATCCCGGACTGACAACCGTCTCCAAGAGTGCCACATCCACGTCCACCCCATCCCAGCCGGTCCGAGAGATCCGGCTGCCCAAAATGGATGGGGAATACGTGCCGGAGGGTGGAAGAAAGTCATACAATCGTGTCAGCAAAGTGGACAAGATCTCTCGTATCATCTTTCCAGTGCTCTTCTTCATCTTCAACCTGGCTTACTGGGCCACTTACGTCAACAGAAAGCCGACCATCAACCGGTCCAGCCCACAGAAATGAATATGGAAACCAGAAACAAATAAATAAACTGCCAGTCCAGTCTTAATCAGTAACATGATGCTACTGCTACTGTGTTCATTTTCATTTTTTAAGCAACCATGTAGATTTTTTTTTTGTTTTTGTTTTTTTTGTATGTGCCATTTCATGTGTTGCATGAGTAAAGTATGACAGTATTGCTGGTCTTGTACAGATGGCCATTATTTACCCACTAAACCCCTCCCCCACTCCTCACACTGTGTATCATCAGAAGAAAAACATCAGTCACCATTGGCTTTCAGTCGCCATCGGCGAGAACCTGTAGCCTTTCAGCAGCCATTAGCGATGTCCGTAGGCGCATCATTACTACCTGTCTGTTCTTTGACTCTTTGCAAACCCAGAGTATTATATCAGTAGTGTCATCTAGATATGTGTTTACATCCCCATGGGTCTATCAGTGCATTTTTCGTCCAGTGATTCTTATTGTTTAAACAGCCTGAGCAGGCTCCAAGATAAAGAAACTGTGTGCCTTTTTAATCACTCGCCGTAGAGATGAATAGTTTGGCACATGCTGACATTGTCTTCAAGCTTACGCCTGCCTAAAGAAAACGTCAGTGTTGATTGAACTCTCACAGGATGGTATTAAACTCAGAGCTGTCCTGCATGTGAGTTGATTTAGTGCTGACGGCTGACTGTAAGGCACTGGGCCAGACAACGGTTCTTTGTTTGAGGCCAGTATGAGCAGTGTGCATCAGACCCTCATCTGAGGATCTGAAATGCTATGAAACATTTCAGCTGTGAAGAATATAAAGACTGGATTTTAGATTTGGGCCAGTGCCACACAGGAGGAACATGCATTTCCATAACCTCACGCTGAAGTGTTGGTGGTTTTGGTAGATCATTACACTGGTGATTTTATTATTATTATTATTATTATTATTATTTATTTATTTATTTTGTGTGTGTGTATGTTTTGTGAATGCACTATTTTTATTAATATTCATATTTTGGCAATTGCAAGCCAGTTTCATAGTTTCCTGTCTGTAAAATTCCATGCAAAATGTCGTTGTAGTTTTAAGCATATATTTAAGATAATATGAGAACATGCACTCAACGTGGATGTGTGCATATTTATATGCTGTTATCACCATTGTTCCCTTATGATTTTATTTCTTTCTCATAGTGTTTTCAATTTGATTATGCATCTCGATTTCGAAAAACAATCTTTTTGCATTCACGTAGGAAGTGCCAGGTTTACATGTGAATTTAAATTTAAATGAGACATTTTTGTAGATAAACTAAAAAGTTGCGTAAAGTATGTACTTATGTGACAGCAAGCTATATTAAGCAAAAAAACATTACCTTTGCCATTTCATTCAATTCATTTCATGAACAGTGTACACTAACATTTTTTTTTTTTTTTTTAAAAACTGCTAA